TTGTTTCAGGATACTTCCTGCTGAACTTCATTCTTCTATGATTATTTCTGACATTGTAGAATTGTTTATTGTTTAAATCTACCACATTTTTCCAAATACTGGTCCTGAAAGAGGAGGATAGAGTTTTCAATTTTGATGATTGATCACCTGATTAGAGACCTAACAGACTGTGGGTTAGATTAGAGATTAAGAACTCAAGCTCTCATACTGACAAGAAGGCAAGCAGCTTGGACCTATTGTACCTGAAAACTACTGTATGTCAGCTGTGTGTACAAACCTGCATATGCGTCGGATGTGAGTGTTTATTTGCTCCACTGTACACAGTATAAATGTGTGTGTTTTTGACTGTCTATAAGGGAGAAGGATGGGGCCCAGCAGCAGCTACTGCCTGCCCGGCTGGACTGCAGTTCCACACAACTGGGCCAAGATAAACATCTTCTCCACAGTCTCCTCTGCTGACATGACATGAATGTGTGCGGGGGAGCTGCAGGACTGTGTGGCTTGCAGCGGTCACATGTGTATCTCAAGTATCTGCGTCCATGTATATTTGTGTGTATGTGTCTGTGTATGTCTGCATAACCAATTGGGACAATTTGAACCCTCAAGCTTCTGAATTACATCTTTATCTTCCTCTATTTTCCCCTGTTACATCTAAATCAGCTCCCCCTGAGCCACATGTAGGCAGCTAGAGCCTCCGCTACTCGGATTGTGTCCATAAAAAACACAGTCCAGTGACCACACCTCTGTCAGTGGCTTGCAGTTCAGTCCCTACATTGTAACCTTCACCAAACGAATGAAAGCAGCTCCTATGGTGCCTAAATTAAACGCTTTAAAGGAAAAATCTATCCTCGGATACCTTAACTTTGTTACTTTGTGGCATTCAATAAAGTTAATTTGTCATGAAGAGTAAGTTTAGTAAGTTATCAGAAGGGACTATTGACAACCACCCGTGAACAATGCACTCTGTGAACATGACTGCTGTCAAGTTTTATGTGGAAATTGAAACATACCAAACAAACAAAATAGGCCCAAATAGATGTGTTATGTGATTTCTTCCAGTCTCTTCCATTATTACACACATATTGTACATTGTCATTATTTTGAATTAGTTGAGTTTTCAGGGTTTACAAAAATACCAAACGTGGCTGAGCTCGGGTGACTGAAATTACCATAAAATCACCCAAAAGCACAAAAAGAATCAGTTTTTTGTCCAGTTTGCAAGCTGCTTTTTCCAAAGTCCAGAACTTCAAAACTCAACGTTTAATCCACCATGGACACAAAGTCCTTAAAGTGCACAGAATAATTGTAAATGAGGTAACTGAGGTAAGATTGTTATGTTATATAGTTCAGCCAGTAAGTGGAAAATCTGTTCAACAGCTAATCTGCATAGCTTTGTCTTTGCGTCCGGTCCCACATCGGCAGTAGTCCTAAATCTGAAAACAAATATAGGATATTAATGGACTCATTATACTTTCATTAGGATTTTTTTAGGGATCCTATTTCCATTTTGAGGTTTCAACCCCAGGGTTGGAAATGTCTGCGTTGCCTCCACCCCCATCCCCAAATCCAGGTCCTCTGTTAACCAGCTAAGCACCACAATTAATCCATTTCCTCCTACGAAATTAGACCTGTTCATTAGGCTTTCAATAACCTTTTATCCCCCTGAAAGTCCGCTCTGCATGGTTAAAAGAGGCTGTGTGGCTTGTTCAGAGTGATCCATTACACTGCAGTGAACACTCTTGAGGGGAAGCCTTGGAGGGAGGTTTAGGAGAGAGGCCTCCTCATCTTGATATAAAGTTTGAAGCTTTAATACCTCTCAGGGGAGGAAAAGAACTGTGCTCTGGGTAACAAGGCCTGTGCTCTGGGACTTACACAGGAAGGAGAGAAAGATTCTTGTGGATTTGATTTGATCAGCGCAGACGTCTATAAATCATATTTTGTTGAATTAAAGTTATCGCAGTGCTCTGTGAAACAAAGACAGACATACGGAAGCAGGATGCCCTCAGGCTGCGTGTCTTCACCAACAAGGAAGAGGAAAGATTTTGGCAATTTGGAAGAAGGATGTTGTGGGGCTGCAGGACAGACCTCAGAGGTCTGGTTGAGCAAGCTGTATAAATAGGACCCTTCCTACAACTGTTACACCAACACATGACCAAAAAGACATGCTTACACTATGCATCAGCCAGAATTTGATTTTTTTTTTAATCAAACATACATGTTGCCAAGAGGCAGAGTTTTTCCATTTCTGCAGCTTCAAAAGATGTGGGTCAAACCCTTGACAAAATAACCAACACAACATTACAAGAAAGAAACTTCAAAGGGGCCATATTGGAACCTTGCCTTTTGAAGAAAGTGCCCCGAGCATGCTCATTCATCAATCTCCAACAGTAAATATTTCCAAGTTTAGGTTATAAATAATTTGGAAGTCAGAACTCATTGCTGCTATTTTATATACTTCATCTTACTGAAATGTAGAGATATTTAGAGCAGGGATCGGACTCCTGGCTTAAGTATTTTTTGACAAACAAACAAACAAACCATAGGGACTTCCTCCAGGGGGACTGGATGTAAATGAAGCCTGACAGTGGCGGCCGTGCGGAGTGTGTGTGATCTGCTGGCAGACTGATGGCAGGTTCTGGTCCATTTGCTGCTGTGTTATTGCTACATACACCCAAACACCAGCTCATACACATATAAAGACTTGTAAAAGGCTGTTGCCTAAATAATTTTATTGTTGGCAGGCTGCAAAAGCCCCTAAAATAGCACTTAGGTCATCACGGGACAGTTAAGATTTTAAGTGGGTTAACACCTGCTTCAGACAGCGTGGTCCCTGCTACAAATTTAGTTATACACACAAACACATATACACACTCAAAATACTGATTTCAGATCATTTAAGAACCAAACACTACTATCAATCAAAAATTCTGTAATTTTTTAAAGCTCCAGTGTGTTGAATTTATTGGCATCTAGTAGCTGTAATCGCAGATTGCAGCTCCCTTGCTTCACCCTCCCCTTTCAAGTGCAAAGGGGACGTTACGGTGGCTTGGAAAACATGCAAAAAACTAATGCCCCTATCTAGAGCCAGTGGTTGGCTACTGTAGAAACATGGTGGTTCATGTCAGACTCTATGGAAGATGACTCGCAGTGTCTGTAGTTATTAACGGCTCGTTCTGATGTAACAAAAACATAATGATTCCTATATTCAGGTGAAAAAAAAATAACTATTATATCCTAATTCTGCCAAAAGAGATTCTGTTAAAATGTCAAAACTGAACCCTGAAATGTTGTGGCTTTTAATCACTTTGTGTAGTCAGATTAACAGTTTTCTCGACTGGAAAACAAAACATTTACACACACACAAACCACAAACAATACAACCTCATGTGGGAAGGAATCCTCCTCCTTACTCCGGACCAATGGGTCAATTCCTACACACACTCGACCAACATGAAAGAGGTCCCAAAAATACCACTTTGCTGAGCCCTGGAGAACCCCAGTCTTCATGTCTACAGCACGCTAGACTGATTTACTTCACGTTCAACGCTCTCCAACATCCCCACCGAACCCAGAGAACAATCTCTACCCCCTCCAGCCTTCCCCCCCCCATACGTTAACTTTACAAATCCGTTGAACATTTACACTATCCCACATCCCCGACAAACTGTCACATATTTACCAACCCAGCTCAGCACCAGAGCTGTTAGAAGAGTGTGTTGTGCTATCAGTGACAGATAAGGGAGGTCAGACAGAGATTCTAACCAAACGACTCCATAAACACAGCTGAACGGTCTGTATGTTCTTGTCTGTGCTGACCGGTTGTTGCTGAGATAAAGGATGGATGGATTCTTGGACAAATAATCCAACAGACACTCAGACAAAGACAAACAGAGACAAAGGAATGGGTGGTGCATTGTCAAAACCAGACAATAAACAAGCCATAAACTGTGATCGGAACTTCAGAATTATAATTCAGCCCATGTGCAAATTCAAGCATTGAAAAGAGCTGCAGAGGGACAACGGAAAATACAATCCACACAGAGACTTTGATTAATTTACAGTCCTATGGAGGCACATTATAGTGATTTTCAGGCCCAACGGGAACAGACGCAAATCTCATGAAATCCAATCCTTAAAATCAGAACTCAAAAATCCTATTTAAAGGCCAAAACATCATAGTTGTCTAAGTCTGGATCTGGATCTATGTGCCGGTTATGCTGGTGGGTATGGGAGGCTCCGGGCCTTGGCGCTGATTGATCAATTCCTGGTGCTGGAGGCGCCTAGATAGCGTGTGTCTGCATATGAGTGTGTGGTTAATGAATTACAGCCTTGACAGGTCAGGATTAGCTCAGGGGTGTGGAACAGATAAAAAGTAAGACCATCGTTCTCCCTCATCTGCACCGGAAAAAAATCAAAACAGAAGATACAATGCCAAAGTTGTTTTTCTTCCCAACTAAATGTTGGGGGAGTCATGTTTGCTAGAATAATGTTACTTTAAGAAACTTACTTACTCATTTACTTGGAAAATAAGTAGAAGTACAAGCTATGAACTTCATGTTTGACTCTCTTCACTTCCTCTGACTAAAAAGAACTGCTTCAATAGTGAAAAAACATACTTTCAGAAACCATTTATAGTCGAAAAAGTGATCATTATATTTTGTCCCTGAATTAAACCCATGAATTTAATTTAAAAGTAAATAGAAAAGTACTTGAAATTATTAATGATAGTAGGCAGGAGCAATTATTTCCTGTGAAGGTACCATAATACTGGTCCACTGGTAAATAGATCCATATTGCAGTGCACCTGGTAGCATCATCATCATCATACGTTGAAAAGACATATAAATCTTCTCTAAGTATAAGAGAGCCCATTTTAGAGATAGTAACTCTGAAACACAGAGCTAAAACATCACAGACCAGACTTAAGCTGATCAGTGAGTGAACATCACCCCCTGGTGGTAAGAAAATGAAGCCCTCAGTAAAGGTGTGTTGGGACTCACCACAGGTGTAGATGACACTGAGGTACTTCCTAGTGCCGGAATAACACGGATCTCCAAAGTCTTTCGTTGATGCTCGAACCAGACAGCTTTTCTTTCCCTGACAGCGGGCGGTCAGGACCTGCAGAGCCAAAGACGACTGGCAGTCTGACACAAAGATAGAGAGGAGAAAACGGATTTAATTATTTTTAGACATCCAGACTGATGCAAAATAATGGTTCATCTAATTATATGATTAAATAATAGGAAAGAGGGGTAACTGCTTCTATAGCTTTTCTGGTAACACTTGAACTGATACATATCTCAAACTACTTTCTTAATCATATTTCAGGAAAAGATGAGTGTAATTTGGTACTAATTAAAGGGAAAAAAATAGAGTGCAGCTGACATGATTAGTTGATTAATCAATAAGCCAATCCACAGAAAATTAATTGTATGATGCATTTCTTAAGCCAAAATGTAAAAAGAAAAAAAAAACATTTGTTACAGCTCCTTTAAATAATATTTATGGGTTTTTCCGGTAGCAATATAATAAGTAAAAAATGCAATCCAACAAAACAAGCAATATGAATATGTCGGCTCTGGGAAATTGCTGGTTGATAGAACTCTTTAAAATAATTTTCTGTCAACAAAAAAAATGCAAATTATTATTATTAATAATGGAAATCATAGATAGTTGTAGCCCTGAAATTGAGACACTTGTTATACATAATTGGTAGTGTAACCTTTGTAACCTTTCTGAATTGTAAATTCCAGGTAGAAAATGTTTGTTTGGTTTAATTCACTTTTTCAAGTCATTATAAATCTATCTAACTATTATTCTTCTCTTTGTGCATGATTAAGAAATTACAGGACCTATAAAATAAACCGTTTTCCATTTTTTATATATCAGTATGAAACATTTACTTTGTAATTTACCTTATTTGTTTCATACCATTTATAGTTCAATCAACAATGCAGAGAAATAACTGGCTAATTACAAGTTTATATTGTTACCAGTTGCTATGCTTTAGCAGAACCAGAGTCTACATAGCTTTCTATTCTTATTTAAGACATATTAAATGTTCATTTTGTAGATGAGTCTCATACTACTTTACTGTAGACTGATGGACAAGTAGCAGCACTTCAGGCACAAAAGGACTACATGAGCCTCTGTCAGCTACAACACACACACCAGTGAGAGCAAGGGGACATCTCACACACTCCTTCCCATCAAGGCTTTCTCAGCTCCCATGGTGGAGTCTCTGTCCACATCAGACCCACATACAGAAACCTTACTGGGGCCTCACATTGTCTAAAAGGATACCTGATCCGACACATGTGTGTGTACACATGTGAGTGTTTGTGCATAGAGACCAGACAGAGTAATGGATGTGGCTGTCATTCATCATCGCTAAGCACCCGCCAGCTCCTCCAGACCTTCTCTTCTGCAGCTCTCATCCCACAGGGAGCACAGATGGACAGATGAGGCTCTTCTCCTACCTTTTTCCGGTCTCACTTCCTTCCTCTCACACATTAATAACACGACCACAGAAGATGATATGCCAAACCGTCATGCTTGCAATCGTCAGACTCATAAGCCAGGTTTATATGCCCATATTTTAACAAATGTAATTTTAAAGTAGAACTACAACAAGCAGTTATTTCTATTATCAATTAATCTGCTGATTAATTGCTTAATAATGAATTAATTTAGCATAGTTTGTGTTAATAGGCAAATGATCTGTTTGAAAAGCAAAGGACTGTGGGATTGAAGACAACATTGTTGAGTTTTAATTGCAAATTCTGTTAACCAAACTTAAACAGCAGAATTCATCTCAGTTAATTGTGAAGCTCTAGTGAAATCAGTATTCTATGTTCCACATCATGAATTTCAGTGACACCCCAAAAGGTTAATGGTAATGAAGTCAAAGAACCTCTTGCTGAGTCTTGTGGGAATGTGTATGGGTCGGGGGTTCCACATGGATGCCTCCCAGGACCCCACGGCCCATCTAACCCCTAAAAAACAACACAAGGAGATGAGCCTTTGAAAGTGGACACTGTGCTTTCGCACTGTCTGACCTGGTGGGCCCCAAAGACAGAAAGAGACAGAGAGAGATCAGAAAGGTAGAGGTAACAGGCTGGTTAAGGCTTGGCTCACACGTCAACAGGCCACAACAAATTATGGCTCAGGTCAAAGGGCAAACGTCCCAGTCAGGAAGTGGAAGAGGGCAATCTGGTGGTCATGCACAGTGTCAACATTGGGAATTATCATCATTGGTATTATTACTAGTCATATTTCTTTCATTATATACCATATGAAAATAACTTTTGTTATGATTTGGTGCTATACAGATAAAAGTTATTGAAAAGGTCCACAACTGCAGTCTTGTCTTACTGGATTACTAAAAACATAATCAAGGGCCTTACTTTATTTCCTGGTAATGATTATATTTGTAGTAAAACTCAGATGAAAGACCACGTGTAGAAAACCTCTTAAGAATGTGAACCTGAATCAATGTCAGTACGAAGGGGCAACCGGACACTCCCCAGCTGGAGCCGACACACTGGAATTCCCAACCAGGACGCAGTGAGGTGGAAGCCTGTGGGAACCAGTGAGTGTAACTGGATAACTAGTAAGACACCTCAAAAGGTTAGACAGTTCCCACTGTCACTTAAAAACATGCGTGGATAATGGCGACTGATGAGGAGAATTCACAGCCTACTTCATCTGAAAGTCTGTAATGGTGGTTCCAGAAAACACTCTTTGATGAATTATTGTGTTATTGCTGGCACCACGCTTCCCCTTACAGACACACCTCTCTCCTTGTTTGCAATGTGCAGTAGAAACATGTCTCACCGTGAAAGTATGTTTAACAGAAATGCGGTTGAATCAGAATAAATGAATGTTTATTCAAGTGAGATCAAATGGGTACTGCTGTATGTGGTAGGGGAATTTCATCAGTAAGGAACAAATACAATGATTTAAATGCCAAAGTGTATCTAGAGGGGTGACAGCAAGAAAAACTGAGCAGCACTTGCATCACATGCTGAGCTACATCCTGAGGACAGGACTGAAACAGCAGCACTGTACAACCTGGACCAAGGAAGCACTGAATGTACAATCCCTCTCAGCTGATTAGCCTCTGATTAGAATGATCATCCTGTGATCAGCTGAGACATACCATACAAACTGATGACATTAGGACTGCCACTAATCTGTTTTTCATGTTATTCTTTTAACTGAAGAATCATTTTGTCTATAAAATGTCAGAAAAGAAAAAAAAAATGCATGTTTGTAATTCCCCACAGTCTAGGGAGACGTATTCAAATTGCTTGTTTTATTTAATCAACAGTCACAACACTCTGTGGTTCATTTTTAGGCATCTGACGAATAGATTTATCGACTAATCATTGCAGCTTTAATTTAGATGCCTATTTCCAATCAACAGAATCATCCATCCCAATGTTAAAAGTTAAAAAAAGTACACAATATTTGATAACAAAATAATATTAGATAACTTAAGTTTTATTTAGAAAAAAATAATTTATCCCTCTATGTTTCTATCATTAACTTTGTTACAATTATGACTGGTAAAAATTCCTGTGTGACGTAACCGTGCATGTGTCTATGTGCAGATGCTGCAGCCCAGTGGCCTCCTGTTCTGCCTGATGTGCTTTGATTTCCCCTTCCTCTCTCTTTTCCTCCCCAGAGGGCTTGTTTGAGCTGGTGTGCCACGCTGAAAACTTTCCTCTCTGACAAGGGAACCCACTGACAGACAGGCCCCCCATTAGCTGCAGCTTTGATTTCCTGACTGGGTGATTAGTTGAGCAGGGGGTCCCACGGAGGAATGGGTGGGGCCGGAGGGGGGAGTTTCAGAAACAGATAGAGACTTCTAGAGACAAGAGGATGGAGACACACACACCCATTTATTCTTTGTCCACTGGCTCGCCATGCTTATATATGTGCACACACACACACAGCATATCTATGCAGTTTAAAAGAGCATTCCTCAGGGTCTGACCTCCTCTGGCTCTCATTAGCGGCTTTAACACAGACAGACAAGCATACACCAGTCTCCTCTCTCTCTTTCTTCTTCTCCTGTGCGGTTGACAGCGAGCCGGAAGCCACAACGCGACAGGCGACGACCAGAAGACCCGCCACACACACGGACACACAGACCCAGCTGCAGGAACACAACACGATCCACAGCGACGCCCCGGCAGCACCCACAGCAGCCACACGACCGGAGCCACGAGGCGCACACAGTGGGAGACGAGGGCAAGAAGTAGACAAGGAACGGCGCGCCGTCCGATACCTCTAACCTTTACCCTCGACCACCTCCGAGCCTGTGCACCCACCCTCCAGCCTCTGCACGCCCAACAAGGACAGGCCTATGGCTCAGAAGAGAAGGGCCACAGTCAAGAGAAGCATTGACTTAAAGGAAAGGGAGGAGTTTCCTGGACCTGTATTCTCACTCACAGACTGAGGTCACATACAGAGAACCACAAACAAGAAAACACAAAGGAATAACTTTTTTTTCAAAAATGACCCACAGCCTCTTAAAGTGACCGATAAAACAGAGCACTTCTAAGCTGAGAAACTTTCTGCTCTTTATCTCTGGCCTTCACACATTTGTGTTGGTACGATGCCCTGTACCAGCAGCACTTCTTCATTGCTCATCTCCTTTTGTCACATCAGTCATCCATCATACATCTAACTTTCTGCTTACTTGAAACCGGCATCAGTCTTAGATTGTGCCTTCACCAGGAATCTACCAGTTCTCCCACTTTCACTGAATTATTTTAACATGACGCGATAATTTTACAAGGCAATAGCGTTACAATAATATAATCAAATAGTGGCTCTTATGTCTTGTGATGAGTGCTGTTGAGTTTCACTTGTCACAGAGCCCTTATATTAGGATGAATGTAGGGAGAGTGTATGCTGGTGGACTGAATGACTGTGAAACACATTTAAAAGACAGTACTTTGTGTGTTTGTCCCTAACATAAAAACACACCTCTGAGCATGTACAAATCCAGACACACGAACCTACCCAACCATCCAACCATCCACCCATCCACCCACACACACACACACACACACACACACACACACGCTTTAGATCCACAGCAACCTTTTCCAGAAAATTCTCACAGTAACTCTCCATAACAATCCCCCAGGTATTCCACCCACGCACACCTTTCCTGGAATTTCCAAGACAATGGGCGGACAAACTTGTCAAAAGTCCTCATCTCTTCTTCTGCTCTGACTCACCTTCGACATGTATCATTTCATAGGGAGGCTCAAGTCATTGTTGTGGGATTAAACGTCTTTGTGTGATAGAACAGTGCCATGATAAGGTGAATGGACGTGCACACGCCAAGTGTTTTCTGTGAATGCCATTTATAAATTTAAAACCATTCATACACACACACATACTTACTGTAAATGGTCTATTCACTTCAGTACAATTTCATTTTACTTTAACACAGGGAATTCATGTGTTATGGTAAGTTATTTCCAGGATTAAAGTGTCCAGCAGATAACATGCAAACACTCTGACATGGAAAAACTCATGTGCACACACATGATTTGTTTGACAGTTGATAGCAGGTTATTTCTGGAGTCAGAGGCACCAAAACAGTCAACCCTATTCATGTGTTAGCACTGACAACATGTTACTTCACATATTCAAACACCACATCTGAATTACAATCAGTGGTGACACTTTGCCCTAAACCTTGCATGGACCTGTGATCCTGAAAAACCTATGCAGGGCGAAGCCGGACTACAAACATCAATGATGTTATTTTAGAGAAGTTTAGGAAAAACAGTCACCACCAAGAATTCAATTCCTGGAATCTTTCAACTACTGCTACAGCTGGACTATAGTGATTCTTTCGGGACAGGTTTAAACACACAGAACTGTACAGAATTTTATCTAATCTTCAAAATCCATAACAACACTGACATCCTGCTACTTATCTGCTCTGTATGCATCAAAGTCAAGAGAAATGCAGATAGGGTTACAGTAAAGCAGTTCGCACCCTAACAACTGGAACAGGCTTCTAAAAGCCAAGTGTTAAATTTGAACTGCAGCTGTGCGTGCTTGGCTTTTAAAAGCTACTGTGATCATATGAGAGACCAACCAGTCTGTGCTTACAGTTTTAAACATCTTGCTGTGCACATACTCAAAAGTGAAAGTGCAGCGGCCTTCAAAAAACAACCCATTGCAGTCTGAGACCCGACATGCCAAGCATGGGGGGCTATTTAGATGTCAAGAGGTGTGTGTGATGGTAATGGGGCAGATGAGAGAGGAGGGCTGAAGCAGGGCGCTTTGCTTTGAGGATTCTCCATCACCGCCAAGACCTGTCCAACTCCACCACTCCCACCCCACCTCAAAACCAAGGAACAGACGAGATCAAAGAGGTCTTACTTTTGTGCGCACATGCCTGTGTATGCACTTGTTTTTGTCTGTTATACTTTTCCAGGGCTTCAGGTTCACCAAGCATAACATAAAGTACCTCTCTACAGCTCTCTGTGGTGGTAAATACTACAAAATTCACAAGCTAAATACAGGTCATAGACTTAAAAAGCACTTTCAGAGGATGGTTGGTTTTCAGACAAAAAAAAAAATCGATCTCTATTTTGAAGGTGGCTGTGGTTGTGGAACTGTAACCCCAGTTGCAAGGAAGATTAAATAGTGTAAAAGCAATTCCCTACTGCTGTACACTGCAATGACTGACACTATGCATATTTCACCTGTGCAGGTGCAGCCAGCTGTGTGAGTTCAGTCGTTGATCTCACACCTCAGGCAGCGGTGGGGTTGCCAGGACAATGTGGTTTAGGAGATTACTATAATCTATATCTTGTTGGCACATTCAAACACACATTTAAAGAGACATAAAATCAAAATAGGCACAAAACAAACTTGTGCGTAATGCGATTGCCATGCCCAAGATTATTCAGACATGCAGAGCCACATGCATGCATGTGCACGCACGCACACACACA